GGCAGCAGTAAACAGTGACCTCAAAAATGCAGTAAAATGGATTAGTGACGTACAGGCCAAACATAAGAAACTCTCTTTAAATATAGAAGGAAGGCCATCTGAAAATGACATAACGGAAGATAATTGACAAAGCGGCTGATGAAAAGCAATCCCATGGAGACTGGGTTCTTGAACCAAGGGAGTAAAGTGTGATTGACTAGAACAAAAATTCCCCAAGACAAAAAGGAGGAGGAGGTGGGGAAAAGAAGGAGGAGAAAAAGAAAAGAAGACTCCACATCAATGTATTTTTCAGTAAACTGCTGCCAATGCAAAAAATAATTGCATAATAATCCTTTAAGTATCTTAGCAAAACATCTCTTAAAACTAATGGCCAAAAACATTTCTTTCTACAAAGAAATAATAATATGGATGATCATAACTTCCCCAATATACTATTTTAAGACAACAGAAAAACACATGCAGAGCCCTGAAGAAAAAGGACAAAATAAATTTCTGAATGGGGTCAAATTGATATTTATGTGAAGGTCACATAAAGCTATTTTAGATATCAAAGACTCAAGGGGCAAAAGCTCAGATTTCTTTAAGGAATTAAATTGCTCAAAGATACTTGCCAAAACACACAGAGATAATTCAAATTAAAAACTCAAAAATGGGCATTTCAGTTTTAAAGAACTATGGAAACTAAAATCAACTGAAAATATAAGACCAGCCTATCTAGTTATTTTGATTTTGGTTGCAAAATTGTATAGATATCTGTAAAAAATAATCTAGAAGGCAAAAAAGGGCAATCATAGTAAAAGCATCACAGCCATAGTGAACATTCAGAGACCAAAAGGCATATAATAAAAATGAAGAAAAATTCTGTGAGTATAAGGAGAAATTAATGAAAATAAGTGACACATATGAGACGAAAAATCAGAATCAATGTCAGATTAAGAGAGCAAAAATGAAAAGCAAACAAGGAGGACCCGAATAGCATAAAACGTGGGGTTAAATGAACAGATATTCTACATTTAAAAAAAATCTATAATAAGACAGAGTACTTTCTTTTCAAGTGTTCTCGGCACATTTATAAAAGTTGACCATATATGGACCATAAGGACAAAAATCCCCCAAAGCATAAGGTGTTAGCAACCAAATTCTCCAGCCACAAAGAAATAAATGAAAAAATTAAAAGGAAAGGTTGACAGCAGCAAACAAACTCAACCACTTGGAAATTTTAAAATTCTTTCTGATATATCCATCTGAGGAAATAACTTTATAAGTGGAAAATGTTTTAAAAGCAAATATATTTATCACATCTTTATTAAGAATAAGAAAAAAATGAAAACCACTTAAATCCATGACAAGTGGGGGCAAAATTAATCAAGGTACTTGCTGTGTGATCTCGGGCAGATTACTTAATCTCACTAAACCTTTATTTCCTTATCTGTAAACTGGGGACAATTAACTCCCTCAGTGGATTCTTGTGAAGATTAAATTAGATAACGGTAAAATATTTTAATCACTATGCCCGCCATCAGGAGAACACTCAATAAGTCTTATCCGTTAAGACTGTCATTATTGAAAATTATGTTTAGGTTGAGTTTGGAATAATATAGAGAAATGCTAATATTACTCTATCAAGGGGAAAGTGCAGGATAGAAATCTGAAATGTAGTAATAAAAACTACATAAAATAAACAAATGTGTAACTCGAACAAAATTGGGCCTCCTCATTCTCTCACTTTAAGTACCATGTTAGCACAGTGACACATCTAAAAGAAACACAAATGTGACTTTTAGAAAGCTGTGAAAATAAAATGGGTATTTGAGAATAGAGAGGTGTGGTTTACATAATATTTCAGGCATCTTGCAGCAAAACTCCTAAAAAGGTTCTTTGGAATGTTTCCCTCTAGAGTTCCACTTCTCATGGCAACTGCTCAGCTCTTTCTGCCTCTCAGGGCCTCAGATCTTGTCCCTTCAGGGGCTTCTTCATCCCCTCTTACAGAGCTAGCCATTGCTCTCTGCTTCTCCTATTTGCATTTCCATCCATGATTCCCCTCCACCAATTAAATGAACCTTCCTTGGGACCGCCCCCCTTTTTTGAGGGGGGCAGGTATGGGTGGGTATTAATACGTGAATATTTTAAATTCAATAATTGCGTCTCTGTCATTGAAAGGGAAGCAACATCCACCTCTTCCTTCTGCAAGAACAATACATGGAAAATAAACTGGCAGGAAGCACACTAAACAGCTACTAGTGATTGTTGCTGGATAAGGGGGCTATAACTTGTTGCCATTTTTCTACTTTCCTTTAGTTTCCAAATTTTCTACAATGAAAATATATTACGTTTTTTTTGTAAATTGAGATAAAATTCCCATGCCATGAAACTCACCCTTTTAAAGTATACAATTCAAGCGTTTTTATTATATTCACAAAGTTGTACAATCATTCCCACTATTTAGTTCTAGAACGTTTTCATCATCCTAAAAAGAAACCTTGTGCCCATTAGCAGTCATTCCCCATCCTCCCCGACCACCCTCCAGCTCTGGAAACTACTAATTTACTTTCTCTTTCTATGGATTTGCCTATTCTGGACATTTCTTATAAATGGACTTATACAATATGTGGCCTTTTGTGTCTGTCTGTCTTCTGCTTAGCATAATGTTTTCAACTTCATCCATGTTGTACCATGTATTAGTACTTCATTACTTTTTAAGGATGAATAATATTCTTAAACGTATTCTATAATGGGAAAAATATTTTAGCTTTTTAAAAAATGTAATGAGTACATAAGTATAATCCTTGATTGTGAATTCTACTGAGTACGCAGATACAATCCAACAATAATAAATGATTTTTGATGATGCATAAATTGTTTTCAAAACCATGTATTTATAAAGCTTAGCAAGCCTGTTAAACCTGCTTTTTTCTGACTCAAGCTCTCAACTAAAAAAACCATAGTAATTTAAATGATACTTGCTGAATATCAGACACACAAACTGAACCATATAAAGAGTGAGCTGTGGACACCCAGGACACATATATATAGCATAATATTTCATATATATAAAATAATATTTCAAACAGAAGATGAAAAACTCCTGGCTTTTAAATTTTGAGTGTTCAAAGAGAATACTTATAGTAACTGAAGCAAGCAATTTTAAGAAATTGTTTGGAAACATAGCACACGAAATATTCTGTGGTAATCAACTGTAGTTAAGATATTTTAAGCTTGGGTCAATATAGTATAATTCAGCTTTACATTCATCAAGAAGAAAGAAGTTCCAAATTCGTCCGTATGCATGCTGTGTGTGTATTTGCGTACCTGCAAAATAAATATTGAAGCACAGTGAGTGCATGAATTTAATGTGATAATCTTTCCCTGGAAAGGCAGATTCTACACATTGTCAGTTACAAGGGAGATAGCTCAATCAATGCTGATTGCAGCTAGCTCACAGAAAGTAAGGGTTCAGTGAAAAGCAAAATTCTGTAAACGAATGACTTGCCCAGGACGTAAAACTTGGAGCATTTCAAATACACTGAGGGTGCAGTGGGGTGGTGACCAGAAGTGAGGTGCTGGTAGTGTCTGGTTCTTGATCTAAGGTGCTGGTTACATAGGCGTGTTCAGTTTGCAAAAGGTCATCAAGTTGTCCACTTGTGATCTATACACATTTCTCTATCTATGTTATACCTCAATGGATTTTTTAAAGTTAAAAAAAAATAAAGCAACAAAAAACCCGACACATTGATTTTGGAGGGCCTCATGTGGGTGAGCCTTAGCTAAAGGCTGGAACCTCAAGCTTTGTCAGGAATTCATAACGAAAATATTGGTCAAGTCTTTAAAGAGATGTCGAAGTTGTAAGTGCTTGTTTGAGAAAGCTAATATCAAGTCTGTAGACTAAATGTGCTTAAAAATCCATCCTCATGAAGTAGTCTCTATAGCACTCTATCGTAAGTTGTTCATTAAAAGCATTCTTTAAAGATGTCACTGGGCTAGCTTCAGTAGCACCAGGGAGACCACTTGCTGTGAAACTTTCCGATATGATGACAAACAATTGCATTTAATCATTTATGAGACTATAATATGTCAGTTAGGATTAGGCTGTGCTTTGATTCAGGAAAATGAAGAAAACTGCTTCCCCCCCCCCCCCCCCGTGAATTTCTTAGCAAAGTTAGACCATAAATGGAAAAGTGCTGGCAGACAAAAATCAGACTCCTTAAAATCTCCTATTTTATTCAAGGTTACTGGCTGACAGCAATGTGTAGATCCTAGCTAGTATTTTCAGGACATGTTCCTGTACCTTCCAACTCTAGGTGGAAATTATTATATGAAAGATTTTACATTTTTTAAACAGCAGGATGAGGCATTCTTTGCGGGAATGGGAAATGATAACATTATTCTGGAGTGCACTCGGCATTCAAAAGACTTCAAAATGTCCAAAACTTTCATCCCAGTATAAGACTATTCCTAGCAAAAATAATTAGGGTATACAAAAAGATTACATTAAAGGAATATTCATTATATCCCTATTTGTGGAAACAAAATATTGGGAACAATTTTAGAAATCCAACCACAGGGGATTGGCTAAAGAAGTCTATATATCCATCTACTGGGAGTGTGTGTGGTCATGAAAAATGTGTTGTGGGAGTACATTTATGGTTATAGTTAGATGTTCATGATAAATCTTTAAATGAAAAAGATTACAAAAAATTTACAGAGTAACACCATTCCTTAAAAATGACCTACCTAAATATACACAGAAAAATTGGGGATAGAAATGTATTAAAATATTAATGCCAATATCTTTTAGGGGGTAAGATTATAATCAATTTCATTTTTCTTTTTTTCTTATCTATATATTCTATCTTTTCTATAATGAATGCATGTTATTACAAAGAAATTTTAGACAAAAGTGAGGATGGAAAGTAGGAAAACCAAGGAATAGAATTTTTACGTGTGTAAGAATATTTCCTTATGTGGAATTAACATCTACTCTTTACCTTCTCTTTGCATACCTTTAGAGCTTTATTTGAAGTATCTTTCATATGTTAGGAACCCAGCTTGCTGTTTCTGGAACCTTTCTTTCAATTCTGAGCAGTCATCCCACTCATCAACAATATCATCTTGGAGCTCCCGGTCATTCAGCTCCCTTGACTTATAGCAAAGGAACTAATGTCTCAATAGGCCCAAGTGCAAAAACTACACAGCCTCTCAGACTGTGATTCTGCAGCACGGATCCACCTGCAGAAGACCAAGTATAGAAATAAGCCAATGGGAAGATCTCCTTCTCTAATCTTTCCAGACCAAGTTATCAGACTTTGAGAGATTTCAGTTGTCTTTCAGAAGAGAGTTCCTGGTCTAATTCAAATAAATAGATTGAAAAAAAATTGGAATCTGAAATATTCTAAGGGTTCACTGTTGATTTTTGTTTGATACACACAAAGGGAAACAATTTCATTCCTTGAAGCCTCTTTCCAGGAGCCTTAATGATCAGCTGCCAGATTTAGCCTTGGCTCCATCTCCACCATGCCTATTATTCCTCCATGCTATTGATGTGACGCCAAATCTCATCCCTATTTAGAATGCACAAGACCAGATGTCTTTATAAAAGGGGGAGTTAGTGAATCTATATTGAAAAGAGCCAGGAGAACATACTGTAATGGACGGAAGCACACAGCTTCACGGGTTATGGTACTAAAAGTACATTCACACAAAAGAATCAATAGTCTTCGTCATAGTATATGAGAAATAAAAGAGAGGAGGGGGAATGGTAGAGAAGGCAGTCAAGAGATTGGCTGCTCATTAGAATCACTGGGGGAATTTGTTTGAAATACTGCTGTCTGTATAAGAATGTTCTCGGCAGCACTATTCATAATAGCTAACAACTGGAAGCAACGCGTCAACAGTGGAATGGATAAATAAATAATAAACTGAGGTCTATTCACACAATGGAATATTACACAGCAGTAATGAACTACTGCCACATACATCATGGATAAATCTTACAAACATAATATTGAGGAGAAGAAGCCAGACACAAAAGGGATTTCAATTTATATAAAAGTTCAGGGGCCGGTGCTGTGGCCGAGTGGTTAAGTTGGTGCACTCCATCTCGGCAGCCCAGGGTTTTGCTGGTTCAGATCCTGGGCGCAGACCTAGCACTGCTCATCAAGCCATGCTGAGGCCGCATAACACATAGCACAGCTAGAAGGACCTGCAACTAGAATATACAACAATGTAGTGGGGGGCTTTGGGGAGAAGAAGAAGGGGAAAAAAAGACTGGCAACAGACGTTAGCACAGGTGCCAATCTTGAAGAAAAAAGAAGTTCAAACTCAGGTAAAACTAATCTATAATATTAGAAGTCAAGGCAGTGGTTACCTCGGTTGGGTAATAACTGGATAGAGGCTTAAGAAGAGCTTCTGGGCGTTCGTGATGTTCTCTGTCTGCATTTAGGTGCTGGTTATGGGGGTGTATTCAGTTCGTGAAAATTGTTAGATACCTGTGATTTGTGTATTGTTCTTTAAATAAGATACACTACAATAAAAATGTTTTAAATTCAGATTCCTGAGCCCTAACATGGATGTACTAAGACTGTAGGTTATAGATTTTCCAGGGTATTTTTTTATTTTGTATTTAATTAATTAATTAACTAATTTTTTTTTAAATTTCTCCTTTTTCTTCCCAAAGCCCCCCGGTACACAGTTGTATATTCTTAGTTGTGGGTCCTTCTAGTTGTGGCATGTGGGACGCCACCTCAGCATGGCTTGATGAGCAGTGCCACGTCCGTGCCCAGGATTCAAACTGACGAAACACTGGGCCGCCTGTAGCGGAGAGCATGAACCTAACCACTTGGCCACGGGGCCGGCCCCTCCAGTGTATTTTAATGCAGGGCCAAGGTTGAGAATCGCTGGATCAGAAAACCTACATCTAGTGGTGTGCTGGAACCAGCCCCTATTAGCCCATGAGAACTAGTTGTTCAATTTTCAAGATTTTTCCAAGCCTATTAAAATAGTATCAGTATTAAAACTAAATTATATAAAGTTTTGATTAAATAAATTATACTAAAAACAAAGGTACTAAATACTCAAAACTCATCACTTTCTGATTTTACTATTATCTATATTTTTGAGGTTAATTATGCCAATTTTATCTGTACGGTGGAAATACTATATAATGGCGTGTTACTATGTCATTTCTTCCCATCTCTATTCTCAGTCACAACGGTAGCTTGAAACTGGCAGGGTGGGAGTATTTATGGCAATCACTACACATCAGGGCTTGCTTTATTGCTCTGTTGATTGTCTTGACTTAAGAAAATGATTAAAAAATGTTAACGCAGATTAAACTTAAAAGTGTGTTATATGTATAGCTGTTACATTGTGAATAGTTCATTTAAGGAAACATACAGTTAAGCTATTAGCTGGTTCAGCAAAGGAGTCATTCATATCTTTGATGAATGAGTACAGTTCTGACATATGACTTTTTTGTTTCACTTTTGTCCTACTCATTAACATAAAGGAAAATATCAGCCAACATTTATATGTTAGCTACATCCCTTCATCAACTGTCCTTAGGTAAACTATGGAGAGAAGAGTTCAGCAAAAACCAACAAGCAGGCATTCTGTGAAACCCAACTGACTATATGGAATTTACAATGAGGAGTCTTGTATATTTTATTATTATTTGTAAATTGTGTGCTATACACATTTTTTATGTTAGTAAAATTTATAATCAGCTTATGTATGCACATAAATGCATTCTTTTTTTCCCAGAGAGCTGGTTGATTTACCAGCACGCCTCTGTCTACATGCCTTCCATGTTTAAGATTATATGACTTTCTATTACGATTTAAGAAACAAGCAAACAAAACAAGGCTGGAGTCTTATGGCTTCTAAGGCATGAGTTTAAGCAGAAAATATAGCAACAACTATAGCTTAGAGCCTCACATACTCAAAATGTGGTCCTCAGACCAGCAGCATCAACATCACAGGGGAGCTTGTGAGAAATATGTAATCTCAGTTCCCACCCTAGAACTCCTGAATCAGAATCTGCATTTTATAAAGATGCCCAGGTCATTTGTATGCCTATCAAAGTTTGAGAAGCACTGCTTTAAAAATAAACTTCTTGGTATGAACTGAAACTTATATAACCAATTTGAGGTTAGTAATAAGGTTAGGAATAATCTAGCAATTGGTGATCTTTAAGCATCTAGCACTGGTTTAGCCACTTCATAGCACTGGGGAAACACATAATTGCTTCCCTTAAATCTGAAGAAAAGGACAAATGTACATTACGAATGTATATTACAAACGTACCTTACGTGTACAAACTTCTCTGGAAATATTAGTTATTTGGCTGAAAATATAGTAGTTGCTTTGAGATGCAGAGGTCTATGTGGAACACACGTTAGTACTTAATTACAAATGTACGTTTGTCAAAACTGCGCCACTAGGAAAATAAAGGCTATTCTAGGCGACTTGGATTATTAATTTAAAAAGGGGGAAAAGGTACAAGAAAGAAGAAAATCACAACAGTACCTTTCCTCCATGTATGTGATGAATAGGCTCTGTTGCCAAAGACTTGGTTTCAAAAATCCAAAGCAGGGCAGCAAGTGCCACATGATGAAGTGTGGCAGCTGGGGAGAGGAGGGTGATGAAACACTTCCCGGAGATGTAATTTAGGCCAGGGTAGCTATCAAGTGCTGAGGGTGAAAGGGGAAATTGTAGTGCTTATGCCTTTCCTGTCGATATATCAGTCAGCCACACAGGACAAAAAGAAGACAGGGAGGCACACAGAAAATACTCGATACCAGAGTTAATTGAAATGATGGTAGGAAAGTCTCACGGGTTCCAAAATGGAAAGCAAAAACACTCTACTGGCAATAATACTCTCTGGAAATATTTCTTAGTTATTTGGCTGAAAATATAGTAGTTGCTTTGAGATGCAGAGGTCTATGTGGAACACACGTTAGATACTTACACAGTGTCTGGAAGGAAATGAGAGCCACAAATCTCCAAGGGGAGCTTGGTATTAGTTTGCGGCAGAAACTGAAGCAATAAAATAATTCGAGTAAAACTTGGCAACACTAGAGTGTGAAGAAAACAAATGTAATCGTGACCAAGCCACTGGTACCCAGAGAGACCCCTGGGCCTGTTTTTACCCAAGAAAAAGGGTTACTATGTCCATCCCTTGCAATATCAGAACTCAAATGACTCCAGTACATTTGGTGGCAAAATAATAGGACTGTCCTAATGTGTTTTAACATCTTCCCTTGAGATACTCTAGGGAGGCTAAGAAGAGAACTAGCCCTCACTGAGGACTGTGATGTGCTTTACATGCGTGACTTCCTAACATCCTCATAATCCTCTGATGGAAGTGATACTCTCTCCACTTTATAGATGAGCAAAATGAGGTCCAAAGAAGTATTTCGCCCACATCACATAGGTAATAAAAAAGCCAGAGCACAGACAAAATTAAAAGGCTCCATACTTGATTAAAACAGATCAGTCAACAAGGACAGCTTGGAAGGGGTCAAAGTATGAGACTGTTATGTTCCGAGTAAGAGGAAAGGACTATTCTGTATTGGCGTCAAGGAAGGGAAGTGAGGTTTCTCCTAGTACCCACCATATCTTTACACTGCTGGAACCCTCTGCTCACTCATTTCTGGATGTATCTTAGGCTTCAGAGGTTTTTCATACTTGACAGTGGTAATTTTGCTAAGTGGGAGGGTTTAGAAGACAAGCACATTTCAGGCAGCGTTATGTAATAGAACTGAGCCCTGGCTGAAACTTGAAAACCTGGGTTCAGTTCCAGTTGCGTCTCTATGAGAGCAGGAGTTACATCACTTCTCTGGGGGGCAAGCTTTTCCACCTCTGTGAGGCTGGATTAAGTCTCCTTAAGTGCCTTTCTGGGCCCATGATTCAACCCTCCCTGACTCATCTGTTTAAGATCGTGACTTCCATCAAAATATATTAGAGATGACCTGAGAGTTAACAAATGTGTCCAGGCAAGACGGCTATGTGGTTCAAGATACATCAAACAAACAAAGAAAAAGCCCTGCCGGAATAATTATTAAACTCCTATACTCCATCTGCAAGAGTAACCCGAAATGAATTGCTTTCAAGTGTTTTTTGTTTTTTCCCAGGAGTTCGTTTAAAAAGAATATATATTCAAGTTCTTAGACAGATCTTGGTGCAAATCCAAGCTCTACCTCCTCCTGGCTCTTTGAGTTAACATATCTGAGTTCCATGTTTTGCTTCTGTAAAATTGGAATCGATAATGAATATGAACTGTAACGCAGTAAAGTGTCTGGCATCTAGTAGGAGCATAATAAGTGCAGTTATTGTTATTCCACTGGTCATTAGGGGTTTGGACTATGGTTGAGTAACAATTCAAAGGGAATTTCTCCACTGAGGGATGGAGCCTGAGATGGTAACTTCATTGGGAACTTGCCATTGATCTCTGTCTATGCAACAAATAAACTCAGGTGCAGAGTGGAGAAATGTAATTGCTTCTTCTGGACCTGCTGGCATTGCTTTCTTTGTAAAACTTTCTAATTCACCTCTTAGTGGGTAAAACCATATCAGAGACATGCTGATGTACTTGATGGGATAGGTAGAGGGAGTCTTTGAAGACAGGAGTGTCCTGGGACATCGAGAAAGATGTCTAGAAACGTCATACCTACATTTCATTTCAGTGTCTTTATTTGCCCATTTCCTAATTTCTGCCCTATGAGCACAAGGAACAAAAGATTCCAGGAAGAGGAGGAGTAACTTCACTTTGTTTGTAAACTAAAAAACCAAACAATGCTGATGCTGACACATAAATAACCTAAATAAATAATCTATACACCTGCCATCCATTGAGTGAGTGCCTCTTGCCCTCCCCACCAAAGCTTTCCCTTTCCCCCTCCTCTTTCCCAGCACTCACACCTCCTCCACACCCCCCCCCCCCCCCCCCCCCCCCCCCCCCCCCCCCCCCCACCGCGTGCCCCTTTCTACACACACCACTTTTTGTGACATTTTTCCTTCCTGCTCCAAGTTTTGTTTTGGTGTTGTGAGGTTGTGAGAAGCCTGGGTGGAGAAAAGATGATGAACACAAGAAGCAGATTCAAATCATCTGTACTCTTTGAACCCTGTTATGTGAAGCCGACCGAGGTCTTCAAATAATGCGATTGAACTGCCTGTTCTCTAAAAGGAAGACCAATAGAAAGATTTCAATAAAAACTTCCTCTGTTTTCTACAGGTATATTTCCTGAGCAAAAAACATAGAAATTAAAAATGTTTCCAGCCATGTTTTGAGACAAGTCAAGAATATTAACCAAACCCTTTTGAAGTTCAAAAAAACAAATGGTTGTTAATTAAATTATTGTTAGAGATACCACGCTAATTCTAAGGTCTCTTTTGGCATTAAAATTATATGATTCAGAGTATAATTTTACCCTTTAAGTAATTATAGGTTTATAGTTGCTATACTGATATTTTTATGACATACCATTGTCACAGCTAACCAAATACCAGCTGATGGCGAGGTCTTAACCTCTCATGGGATCTTCCCAGTATTCTTGCTCTTATGATCGATTATGTAATGACACACTATATAACAACTTTTATAGGACAAAAGCTGTCATAGGACAGCTTATAAAAACCCCTTAAATGCTGAAAAGTATCTCAACTAATTAAGCTTTTAGGGTTATTAGCTTGAATTAGGGGTATCAGTACATTAAAAAAAAGATGACATATTAAGGTTTTCTTTAGTAATTTGTCCCCCATTTCATTTTTTATTACCCCTTTATATAATACTCCCTAGGAACGATTAACAACTGTTACAAATTATTCTACAAAAAGTAGGTGGGAAATACGGGAGAGGGGGAAGAGAAGGCTGTCAACCTAGGCAAAACCAGAAAACACCTTGCTTAATTTTGAAATACTGGCCATTTTCAGGACTTTGGTTGGGATTTATCTATTATGTCTCCAAACCTATCTACATGGCACATTTCAGACAAACTGAGGTTCCAGAAGGAATCCAGTGCTTTTAAGCATTGTGCCAAATTGTAATGCTTTCTCAAAGACGCTGTGCAGATTCAAGAAGCTCACGATTCTGTTACAAAGCTTTTGAAGCAATAACGCCTTTGAGTTTGAGAGACTTAATTTAGCTGTTCTAGATGATTGCAAAATCTCTCCCTGTTGGGTTGAAATTCAAATTCTGTTTCTCCCCAAACTATCATCCATTTATCATCTATACAGATAAAAAATGGGTTTGGAAATTTTTTTCCAAGCATACATGGAATTGCCAAGTAATCCCACAGAACGGAAAAGGCTGAACTTCTCATAAATTTACTATTGACCCCCAATTCAGCATGATCTTGATTTATTCTCTAATTTTTCCTACATGAATGTTTAATATTTTGCCTTTTTAATCTGTTTGTAAGATCCTTAAGACCAGAGACCCTATGATAAAAATTTTCTTAAATCTTTGACAGTGCCATGCCAAAAAGTACACATGAATATTTATTTCACTGTTTTACTTACGAGAATGGAATTTATTCTTTTGCAACAGCTGGGCCATTGAATGTTATTATATGAGCTGCAATTACCAAGTTATCTTAGGCAAGTCACTTAACCTTTCTTGGCCCCAGCTTCCCTACTGGAGAAGATTTTTTCAACTATAGAGTTTAAGCTTTAGAGTAAGACAGAACTTTCTTTTTGGTTATACTCCTATTTCTTCTATTTACCACAAGTAGGAGTTCAACCTATTATCTAACCTCTCTGAACTTCCAATTCCTCACCTCTTGTTTGTGGATCAAGAGAGTGGTTTCAGCTCACAGGGATTTTTTGATGCAGGATGAGAACATAAATGTAAAGAATGCAGCACATTACCTGAACTTTGGTTCATGCTCAAAAATGTCAACTATGATTATATCAAGTTTCTTCCAGCTCTAGAGTGCCAAGATTAGGATAGAAGTAAAGTCTTAATCATCAAGCCCCCAAGTCCCCAGAGTCCTCATCTGATTGGCACCACTTGGATCCCCAAAGTAAAGAAAAAGTCTTATAAAGGCCAAACTGATTCAAGGCCCATTTACTCAGTAAATTCTATTCTATTCTATTCTATTCTGTTTACTCAGAGTAAATAGAATAATTTTAACAATCATTGAACTTGAAATATCAATACAATAACTATAATTCATAATTGAGTCCATAAAAAAATGACAAAGACAAACTGCTTTAAGACAAATGACTAAGAAACCTGTTCTGAAATGCATAGTCAGAATAGACACAGGATGTCATCAATCTATGGCCATAGGTTTGCACAAAGACACTGACCTGGCTTGCTGGAAGTGAAGAACAGAACACCCTGCTCACAGCTGGACTTACCTACACAAAAGAGAGAAATATTTTATAAATGCTGCTGCTTGCCAGGAGCACACGGGGAGCCACTAAAACTTTCAACATACATTGTTGTCTTTCTTTTCCCCCAAAAGGGCAGAATCTGCTTTATTTTTTTGCTAAGTGTCAGTGTTAAAATGGCATTTCTTTGGGTCAAATACATCCTGAAATAGCTAGACTAACATTTTGTAGCATTTCTGAAAATATATTTCTGAGCATTTGGGGATGACACAAAAAAAGCACTTGGCCACAAATCCATGAACGGGAACACGGAAAACCTTATAGGCATTTTACAATACAGACATCATAGAAGTGGACATGCTATTCCTCCAAAATTGCATTTTTAGACAATATTATCATAAGTAAAAGTCCAAATGATTCTGGGTTTTCCTATTAAATTATAGTTATATAGTTAATGTTATGTTGTTGAGCCAACGACATCGAAGTACCTGTGTTTCTATTTCCACCTCTATGATCACACATATGTATTTAAATTTACACTACCTTCAAAATTTTGGAAAATAACAATCAATGGGCAAGTTTAGAAAAACACTGACCATGATTATATTGCTTCCTAATGGGTTTTTCAAAGTCTTCCACACTGGGATGAACTAGTTAAATCTCCTTCCCACTAATATGTCCAAATAGGATCCAGGAATCTGAGAGGAAACCTTGTTTAATAATAATTTACTGCCCACTCCACCTGCGGAGCAGTATGCAAACATTATTTATACTTAAAAGTCTTGTGTTTATTTTCTAGCAACCAGTGACTCTCAGGCATCTACAAAGTTATTGGAAACGAACTCTAATTCCAAATTTCTAAAGAGTGTTTGTAAACAAACTTAACAGTGTATGTTTACAAAAGCCGCGAGCTTGCCAAGATCAAACAAACAGAGCCTTTTGGCTATTTATATCTGCTGATAGTGAGAGGACTGTTATACAAAGATGAAAACTACTGATAACCTAACTGTTTTTGCAGTTTAGAGAGGATACACAGTACAGAGAAGAATACGCAGCACAGCCCCGGTTGGGGGCGGGGGAGCCCCAAACTGCCGAAACCTCAAGCTGAGCATCTGGCTGGGGTCCAACAGAGTCGCGTGAACAGCCCAGGTTGGGGGAAGTTCAAAGTCAAGGCGACTCTTCTGGTCTTAACTTCCCAGACTTTCCTAGGTCGGGATGCCTTTGTGTATATATCAACCTTCATGCATTTCCCCCCCAGCAAATGTGTACAGTCAGCTCGAAAGGCACAGCTTGTGTGCTGACGTGCAAAGCCAAGTCAAAACCCTGCGCTCGGCGTTCCCTTCTAACTTTCTGGCTTGTCCAAGTCTAAATATTGACATTGCTCCGCAGTTGAGATGTTTGATACTGCTGAGGATAGAAAGGGCGCAGCTAACAGTAGGATCTAATGATATATTTTGACATAGTTGTGCCTTCTTTCCACTTCTTTTTGCGGGGAGGCGGTTGGATTCCCTTGTCTGCACATCTCCCCGCCCACCCCCCACCGCCCACCCCCCACCCTATTGTTCTCCCAGAAAGCTGAGCACACAGAGACAGGGTAAGGTGTTTTGCAAGCCCCTCAGGGCAGCTCCTACTGTTGTCACAGCAACTCACAACAGACTCCATAGACACGGGGTTGGGGGCGGGGAGCGTCAAACTGTGGGCTGACCAGTCAACTCTCCTGGGGCGACAAGCGCCCAAGGGGCCAGCATATCCCCTTTTTCAGGTCCTCCGGCTCCCCACCACTGTCCTTCGAAGAAAAAGAGCCCTCTTTGCGGCGCGGCACCAACCCCTCCCAGGCGAGGCCAGCCTGCTAAGGGTGCCTGTTGTACATTTTCTCAGTTCCAAGTTAGGGGTGCGGCTGTGCGGGCGCTCCTAGAAATCTCTTCGGCTCGCCTCTGATGTGAGGGTGCCCGGCCTCGCAGAGAGGCGAGGGCGGCTCCCAGAAGAGCTCGGTCCCATAACTCTCTCTTGGGACGCTGCCGGCCGCGTGGCGCGGCCCGGGCCTCCCCCCTCCACGCCACCCGCTGGGGCCGGGGCGGTGGGGGCTCCCGGGCGGCTGCTCCGAGAAGTTTCGTACCGTAGCGCACTCACGACACAGAACCTACCCTGAAGCCGAGCGAGACGCGAGCTCTCTCCGCCTTCAAGGGCTGGGGGGAGCGGGGGGGCCCCCGCTACTCAGCAGCAGCCACGGCTGCGCGCGGTCGCGGGTGTGCGGGGTCCCTGCGCGCGGCGTGCCGCCCGCCGCCCAACTTTGCACAAAGGCAGCATGGCACTGCCTCGCCTGCGGGCTCGCCGGCGCCGCCGCCGCTCTGCCCCGTCCGGGGCGAGAGGGGCTCGCCCTTTTCCACCCCCAGCCCTCCCCTTCTCGTGCCCCCACCCCCTCTCAGGCGGGCCGGCCGGGCGGAGCCGAGCGCCAGGCACCGAGCTCCGCCGCCGTGGCGGCCGCCGCTCGCTCTGTGACGTTAGCAGCCTTCGCGGCTATTTATATCCACACGATTGGATTTCATTCATGAAACCAGGGCCTGCTGTGTCTGTGCGCCGGGGCGCTGGTTGCAAAGGTGCCTCCGCTTCACGCAGACCCGGGGGGCCCGGGTTCGGAGGCGCATGGCCCGGGACAAACATGCGCGGAGCACGGGAGACCCCGGCCGTTCTCCCAAGCGGCCGGGAGGTGAGGGTCGGGGCGATCTGTGCTCCCGTCCTCTGTGCCAACGTCCCACCCATTCCCGTCCAACGCTGGCCCTTTGTCCCAGGCTCTGGAAAAGTAAGTTGGGCCACTAACCGGCTGGGCAGCATGGCCTTCTTCCCCCTGGGAGCTGACCGGCCGCGGACTCCGAGGGAGGACATTGGCTTTTGTTTCCAAACCAAGCCCAGCTGCTGACTAAGGGCTGCGTTAGCTCAGCCTCCTCCCCTGGGCGGCTGCACGTGCTGGCGGGCTCCCCCCCGGGTTACCTTCCTCTGTGACTTGGCTCCTGGGGTGATGGGGGTGATGGGGGTGATGGGGGTGGGGGGGGGTGGGGACGGCATCAGGACGCACCCCTGCTCCCGACCCGGATAAGGAGGTGATTTACAATCTCCTATAAATGACTGAGTGAGGAAGTGAAGTTGACTTCTAGTCGCTCACGGATTGTCGGAATTCTTGGAAGCCTAAGACAGTCCATCCCTCCTGAATGCGTCTCCCTGCGCAGGCTGACCGTGAGCTCCTAGGACCGGACCAGGGGTAGTTTTCATGCATTCACATAACAAATACTTATTGAGTGCCTACAGTATGTTAGGCACCCTGTTAAGCTCTAAAAAGGTGACAATGACCACAACCAACCTGGTCCGGGCCCTCAAGGAGCTTTCGGTCAGGCTGTTAAAATTACCTTCATTGAGGACGCTGTCTACCAAGGACTGGGGATACAAAGATGGCAACAATGTGTCCTTAGGACTCAAGGAGTTCTCAGGTAACTGTCTTCCTGAGGTTTTGAAGGGCTGGGGAAAAGGGAGCCATTTTTTATTGCAAGGGCCATTTCTTTGTGTTATCCCCCAAGAAACAGAACAGAAAAAATTCTAATGCAAACAAACCCGTTTGTCCCTCAGTTTCTTTCAGGAAGCCACCTTCATTTTCCCAGATGGAATACTTACTCTCCCTTCCCAGGATCCGCCGATGAGTTTTAGTCCATTGGGTATTCCTGATCTTCCCCACTAGTATTTATTTGCCTTGGTGACAAAAGCTTGCCTGGTGCTCTCAGAAGCCCCCAGAGACCCCAAAACATAGTGAAATTCAGTGTTTTTACAAGGAAAGGTGTTCAAGGCAATGTGCTTTGTTTAAACCATCCTTACTGAACTGTCTTTGGAAATGGAGTTAGCAGTCTCTAATCTTTGATACCCAGAAAACAGCATAGTGAAAAGTCACATACAGGGGTCTGCTCAAAGAACTTCAAGACAGACACATGGGGGAGTGATCATTTACTTGGCACAACACCAACTTCCCTCAGTCTATTTAAAAGTGACTCCATTTTGAAAGGTTTAATCAATATACATTCTTTTCAGGAACAGATTTCTTGGGAAAAGTTAATTAACCCTGCTCACCCCCAGCCATCAGTCGTCTTTATTGCAAGCCATTGCTCTTCAAACTGCCCTGGGGGCTAAGCCACAGGGTAGGAACTCAGAAGAAATGGGAATCAACCTGTATTGCAGCCTTCATATGTGGGAGGCAATAGGCAAGGAGGTTTAAAACACATTTTCTCAATTAATCCTAAGAACAATGGATGAAGTAGATGCTATTATTATCATAACCATTTCATAGATGAGGAAACTGAGGCACACAGAAGTACGTAGTTTTCTGAGGTTTTGACAGTAGCATTTTGACGTGGGTCAGCATGTGCCAAGGTCTTATTTTATCACCAAGCTGCTTTTTGACATCCTGCCTTTCCTCAGTTTCTTTCATTTCTTCAGTTATAAATTATAAAGAGGTAAGTGGCATGCTTAAGCAGCAGGCAGGTGCTAGGACCAGCAAGACACCTATGCAAAGACCCCAGTTGGCAGGCTACCATTCAGATGTTGCCCTCCATCCCCAGAGGGTACCAAGGCTCAGGTAGGCCTTCCAAAGGATTCTTCTTCCATAGAGGGTAAAGAACAAACAGTCATCATGGAATTACCCAGCTGGCTGCCTAAATCTGAGGAAAGCTGACCGGAAGAACTTTTGGGAAAATTGATGTGAACAGTAATTCAGATATGGCAGAGGAAAAGTCACTGTTCTAGGAAGTCCTTCCAAACAAGGGCAGGGACCTGAGGAAGAGGTTGCCACAAAGGTGCTATGTAGCCCCAAAATTATACACATGAAACCCCCAATTCTGAAAAAGTTGGAGAAAATGCAGCAAGGAGTACAGACTATATTTTGCCAACAGGGAAGGAGAGAAAAGGAGCAATAGCAAATAATCCTCTGAATCACCGCCAATTCCTGTCCTTGTTACTACCACAAAGTAATCCGCATTTATATACTACAACTGATGCTTGCAAATAAAATCAATACGATTCGCTTTTAATAAATATAAAAATTGGTACTTAAGCTTAAATAAACCAACACCATTTATTTAAAGACTTTCAGGGTTGTACTGTACAGAAGTGGTGTAAAAACTTTTGACTAGCTTTTATGGTAAATATTTAACCAAAGGCATAGGATTAAAAAATTCCCACAATCAAGATACAGAACTGTTCTGTTATCACAAAAGAACTTCCTCACGCTACCTCTTTGTATGTGCATCCCCCCCCCCCCCCCCCACCATTAATAAGCAATATAAACATAGGTGGAATTATTTTTCTGAAATGGGCTGTGTGTGTGTGTAGTCCATTTATTCTTCTAGTTTCTGCATATAATTTAGCTCACTTCCATAGACGGGGCAAAAACACGGCAATTGCAAGTTGCTGGCAGAACAAAAACCTCAAATCTCAAATACTAAACTTTCCACCTTACAGAGAGAAATTGGTGGAGGCTAATATGTATAAGGCTTCCAGTCAGCATGTGGGGGATGAGTTGTGGAGAATGATATAGCTCCTATATGATTGATCTTTGGTACTTCTAAATCAAATGAGACCCTGTGCGGGTTTTTTTAAATGGCCTCATAATGAGTCCATTTTCACACTCACCAGTGTGTAGAGAGCTTTCACATTTTTACAAGACATTATCCACAAAACATTATTTTCATTTAGGCCTCTTAACACATTTTTGGCAAAGTTATTGATCCATGTCCTCATTTTATATATGG